AGAGAGAGAGAGAGAGAGAGAGAGAGAGCAAAATAAAGCAGAGGACACGACTGCTCTGGGAAAAGCAAGGCATACAGACTGAACGAATACATCATGTAATAAAGCAGTAAAGAAGTAGGTCAACGCAATGTATTTATGGCCACCTCAACCTCACTACAAAACAAAAACATTGCTCACCCACGGCAACGAACTGCAGAAAACCTTCTCTCTCACTATGATGAAAATATCACGCCTTCTCACAGTCGGATAATGGAAGATGCTTCGAGAATCAGAAAGAAGGCCTATTTACAATCCGCTAAACATGAACGTTGTCTTTTCCTAGATACGCAAATCTCAGAATTGAAACCCACACACACATACAAGCACAGTAATGCACACACACACACACGTGAAGCAAGACCTATAGAATCTAGCTACCACCTCCAGCAGCGCGCTGTCTACCCCCATCAAATTCAAATAATCCGACACAACAGATGAAAATGTGGTCAATGAGTCAATGGTCCATTTCCAGACCTCTTGTCAAGTCACAAGATATTGAAGTACAGCAGCCTACACAGTTCCAAAAACATCTCTTCTCATGCGGTCATGGAACTTTCGCGCCAGCTAGTTACAACACGGATGAATAAGTAGGGCCTAGGCCTCCAGCCTGAATTGATTTTGAATAGGCCTACTCTGCTCTTCGGTCTTGCCAGCATTCTATTTTTAGGATATGTCTGTATGAAATAGGTCGGGTTAGGCCTAGGCTAGTTAAATTTAGAGAGAAACTGGACTCTTGAAAGGGAAAAGGAGGAAGTCTTACTGTTATATTTTAGAAGCAAAAAATATATTTCCGAAATTGGGATGACATTCAGGCAAACCTGCTCTAACGGCTACCTGCATAAGACAATCACCTGTACAAACGACCACTCCCCATTTCTCCCGTTGTGTAAGTAGTACACAATAACGATACTGATAAGACGACAGCTTGTCTGAGACGACCGCTTCGTTTGTTTGTTGATTTGAGTAAAGAGAAGCACATCATCGGCATAATAATGGTTATAATACGCCGGGTAAACAGTAAGACAGATAGACAGAAACAACAGCGGAACAGGAAAGAAGTAGAACCTACTAGTGGCGCCCTCCAACCACCCGCACTGCTACTTTTCTCACAGACAACGGTTGGTCGTCTAAAGACAATTTCGGATGTATTAGAAGAAAAGAACTTGGAAATGAGAGTGAAAAGTCTGAAAAATGTCTTCTGTTTTTTCTTTCGATTACTCGGTCAGACACGTTTTATATCTTAATGTTGCAATAAGATTGGCACAATCAGGAGAGGGCAAACTGATGAATTTTTTATATATGAATCATTTTATTGAACGTTTAGTAGTAATACAAACCATCAGAAAAAGACAATGGAGATTCTTTTCCCACATAAATAGATCAAATGTACGCGAGAAACTGCTGCTGATTAGAAAGATAGAGGGAATGAAGAGGACGGAATGAGGTACCATGATCGTCAATGTCTGCTCTAAACCTAACGCCTGAAAACGAAGAAGAAGAAGAAGCAATAGTTATATTCTTTATTTTTTTCATTAACAACAGCAACAACAAAAAGTCATCAAGCGCACTGGGTTACGGCCCTGTCCAAAACATTTCGCTGCCATAGAATTATTACAAAGTTCTCAGTAGGTCTACCAAGATCTAGATCTAGATCTGGTTTTGATAAATTTGACGTACAAAATGTTGAGTTTCACAACATGCCAAGCTTTTTCGAATGCAATTAAATTCTTTAATATCTTGATAACGACTCCATATAATCTTGCAATTTTGATAGAGCAGATGTAACAATTGTTTTGTGGCTGATGGCTTAAAACCGTAAAAAAAAAAAAAAAGTGTGAGATAGAATGTTGTAATTCTGAGGTAGCAATTTGTCAACGCCTGCTGTAAATGGTTGTTTTCTTCCCGAAAGCTTATACAGAGAAAAGGGGTTATAGATCTAGTATAGATTAGAGCTTGCTGTTGAGCGGGGATTTGCGCTATACAAATGCTATCTATTATTATTATTATTATTATTATTATTATTATTATTATTATTATAAAAAGTCCATGGGCTATGATAATAATAAGTGTAACAATAAGGAACAAAAGCAGCAATACAAACCGTGACAACAATAACAACAGCAACATAACATAAACCAATAGGCCTACATTTATTGTTATGTATTAAAAAAGCTGCCGACTCATATGTTCAATAGAAGTTCACGACGTGCATTCAACTTTTAATCCGTACGTCGCGTTTTATTTGCGTATCCATACGATGTGAGGAACTCTGTGCCACTACTTTCCAAAGAGGAAATTTACTCGTCAATCCGATCCGAACGCTTTGCATAGTAGTCTGTCAAAATGCTTTTTTGAGAAATACTGAAACTTTCAGAGATCTTCGTAGTAGAAGTATTCTAAAATGTGAAGAATACAACCCTGTGGATACAAGATGACCCCAGGGCGTACGGCGAAGCGGTCAGAATAAAAATCAATTAAAGCGATGAAAAATAATTATACATAGGTTTTGGTAGGATGTCCCAATTTCCTCAGTGTTTTTATTTCGTCACTGCACGCCCCCTTGACCCTTTCACAACTCGTTATTCAAACTTTAAATAGTCAAACTTTCTGTCTAGGGTAAGTTAAAAAAAAAAAAAAAAGACTTGGTCTTAAATGTTGACCAATTAGACATACAATTCGACACATCAGCCAACGAGACACAGGCTCATGTTTACCAGGTTCTTGACATCAGGTCATGCTAAGCCTTCGGCAATACATTTTTATTTTGCGAGAATTGCGAATTTTTTTTTAGCATAGCCTATAAGGTTAAGTTAGGACACATGGGACGTGAGATACATGGGACCTTGGAGGAACTATAATAGGAGAGGCCGCGAGTCGCGTAACGTGAAGCCGCTGCAGACGACGGTCGGCCATGTTTGTGAGATCAGCTCAGTTCTCTCAGTTGTAAACTTAGTGTCAACCGAATGGCAGTTTGCGTAGCGTTCGGGTCCGGTGGGCCTCTCATTCAAAGGTCCTGGGTTCGAATCCGAGTAGTGACGGAAAAATTTTGTTCTCTAAACTTCTACTTTCTCTTTCGTCTGCTTTCACCTCCACTTTCTGCCCCTACCTCCTCAGGGCTCCGAACTCTTTCTGCAGCCTTTCTACTGCTACTCCTTGGCTCCTTCTTACCTCTGTCTTTCAGCCACACCCCTGATCTTCTGGTAGGAAAGATCTACCCCTAGCCTTCTCGGGCAAGGGCGAAAAAATCTCGGAGGTCGCGTATGCAAATTGCGCCAATTAAAGGTCCCTTGGTGGTCTAAAATCGATAAGAGTAGGCTTCGGTCGCCACCCAGGCAAAATTCAAAATTTCCTACCAAATGTTTTTAAAAATATCAGTCTCTAGCAATGGCACTGAACTTGATGACGAAGTGCCTTCTGATTTAGCCGTAAATGCATCTCACAGTAAAAACAGAATGAACAAAGATTTCAGAAAATTCAGTTTGCCATGATGATAACTGCACGTATGTGCCTAGATCTACTCTAGCATACTTGTCAATTTGCTCTGCATGTTGCTTACATTGCTGGTTTTGTGTTGTTAAGGTTGACAAAGCATTTGAAAACGTGAAACCTGCATCGGTGCCTTTGTTGACTCCAATGTGTCAAAAGTAAATTCCTTGCTGTTTTTTTAAGTCTCGTCGGAGGTTCGACAGTGCCTTCAAAGAATGTCATTGAAGTGTGTTTGGTGTGTGAATAACATTTTTGATGCCATGTGTCGTCTGTCTGTGCATGGGGTGTGACATTGTCAAGAGTGAAATGTCATAAATTAGTGCAATCTGTTTTGAAAATCTTATTATTATAAGTCTATCATTTCAAATTCTCTATTCATTTTTCAATACCCATAACAGTATTTTGTAAAATTTAGATAAAGTGTCTTGGTGTTTTAAAGGTGCCCCTCCCTCCTCACTTTATTTTGGGGGGGGGGGGGGCTGTTTTATTCTTGTTTTTGTGTGGGGGGGGGGGGGGGGGGGGGGGTAATTTCCACCATCATACTTCACTCTTATTTGCCTTGCCCTCTCCTTCCTCATTCTTCGCCCATCCCATCCCACCCTCACTACCATCTTTTGTGTAATCATTTTCAATTTTGTTAGAAATATATTCTGTTGTAAGTTTAAGTCAAGAAGACTACGTTTTTGTAAAAATAATGTCAGTGATGACATCATTTTGCACTGATGAAGTTCTATAACCGAAAAGTCTGCAAATTTTGTTATCCCGTTTATATTTTTGTTTTGATCCTTATTATCCCAATTTCTTCTCTAAAACAAGTTTTAAAAATTTATCTTACCGTCACGATGTGTATACATAGTACATGTATTACCAAATGTTCGACTGAGTGAGCTGGTAATTTGATGCAAGTAAGATTTCTTGCTGTCCTTATTATATTGTTACTATCAAGAAGTCTTCATTTTTTGTAAAAATAATGAAGTTCGACTACCAAAAACTCAGCAAATGTTATCATCCCGTTTATAATTTTGTTTTGATCCTTATTATCCCAATTTTGTCTCTAAAACATGTAAAACAGAATATCTTACCATCACAATGTGTATACATAGTACACGTATTACTGTAAATATTCGACTAAATGAGCTGGAAATTTGATGCAAGTAAGATTTGTTAACATCCTTATTACATTACAACTGTACGTGAGTGCTTATAATGCTGTAATTAACATTGACAAAGAAATTTTGAGAGAAAATGGAGTCCGAGCAGTTTGTTTTGAAAGGAGATTACGCTGCGTACGCTGCATTGTTTTGAACTTACAAAGATGGCGGCAGGCCCGATAAGCTCCGCCCTTTCGGCTTCAACTTGGTTGGAACTGTTGAGCGGGCGACGCAACGTTAGGGCCTCTCCCTATATAGTTACTCCAAGCATGGGACAACTGCAGTAACTCATAAACCGGTTCCAGTGTGCCATATTTAATGTTTATATGAACATGTTGCCAACGTGACCGAACAGTCCTCGAATTTGTTCCCGCCGTCTACTTTCGTTTTCCTTTCGAACTGTGGATCTCAAACTCCAAACTTTTGATGCTAATTTTATTGGATTTGTTGAGAGACAATCTATTTGTTTTGTTACATGCAGGAACAGAGAATAATCAAAAGACATTATTTTCCTTTGTTGTCATTATTTCAACCTGGGCGTACTGCTTTCGTTTTTATCTTTTGTAAATCGTAGAACTTTCAATCACGTGTTGAATTTCATGAGGTTGGGGTTGGGATGGATGGGACCAAAAAAAAAAGAAAAAACATTTCGGGAAGCTTAGGACACAGTGCCCCATGTATCCCAGTACGTTATGACAGTTATTTTCCTTCTTATTACTCAGATATAAGACTATGGTGATACTTTGTCATTGATATTGGCGATGTGTTTCTTCAGATCACACATCAAAACTACCATCGGAAGACAGAAGGACGGCAATGCTTGGTGAAGAATATAGCAGTTTGTAGCCTTTCAGATATAAAAGCCATCTTATCGAATCTCTCACTTTTGGGAACTACTCTAGAACAAAAGGGATAATGCCATTTCCGGTCAAGTTTACAATTCAAAGATATAAATTACTTATCAAAGACAAATTCTGGTTAGTTGATAACGCTTGTCAGAATACTTCCAGATTGTGTTGTTCATTGTTGGTTTTCCCCACTTTTTAAAAAAGTGTTTCACCCCTTTTGTGGATTCTATTATGGTTCTAACAAAAGACCACAAGTAGAATCTACATATCATGCCCGTTTATTGATAGACATAGACAACCTTTTTTACTTGTCCCATGTATCCTTTTGCTTTGTCCCATTCATCCCTCACCTGTCCCACCCATCCCAACTTCTGATGATGTACAAAACAGTCGCGATGTAGGAAAACCAATGGGCTTTACTTGACACCAAACTGCCAGAAAACACTCCAAGAGGACATACTTTTAGCACAAGTCAAAGGTTTATTTACAACTTCAACTGTTTCTGGGATATTACTTTGAGAAAAAAATCCTAAATATTGTCCCATGTATCCCAACTTTCCCCTGTCTATTAAATGTAATATTAGTCACTCCCCTGTACAAGTAAATAGGAACAAGGGCAGCCGCTAAATTCTTTCACATTTGATCTTAATGAAAATACAATAGAGCAACACTACTTTTCAAGTTATGGGTACTGGCAAAGCTTCATATTTTTTCATTCGGTAGTTTTTGAGAATATACTGTTCGCAAAATTTGGCCTTAGCTCCATTAGTAGTAAGACTAGTAATAAAAGTACCCGTTCTACGAACGGAATAATAATGAAGAATTATTTGGAGAGTTAAGAAGAGGAAAAAGACTGAAAACAGGAGAGAAACAAAACATTTAATATTTTACCTTGAATTTATCCATGTAGCACCCCCTCTTGACTACCTCAAGGGGTAAGACTTCTTCTCCCTCTTCGAAGGCGTGGCATTTTCCTCTAAAGCTCAATCACTTTTTAAAAAAAAGAGTTAGGCCTACATGCCAATTGTTGCTTCCTAGAAGCACCTAATCTAGATTCTAGATCTAGCCTAGATCTCGAAGGATTATAAAGACACCATCATCATCCAGTGCCAGATCTGCGACAGACATCGGCGATCATGTTTTTCCATTCATTCCTTTGCTCGGATGCTCTCAGAAAAGCTACGTTTCCCTGATCTTTCCCTGTTACCCATCTGTTTAGGTTCCCTAAGTATGTTGTTCTGGGCCTACCCCTGCCTCGCTTGCCCTCAATTTTGCCATTGAGAGCTAGATGTTCAAGACCCTTATGTCTATACAGGTGTCCCAAAAACTGCATTTGTCGTTTCCTGATTGTTTTTAACATTGAGCGTCCCACGTGGGCTTCATCAAGCACTACCTCATTTGATTTCTTTTCCTTCCACGATACTCTCAGCAGTCTCCTAAGAAACCACATTTCTGTTGCCTCTATTTTATTTTCACTGTCTTTAGTGATTGTCCAGCATTCACAGCCATGTAGAAGGGTTGACCAAACATAGCATTTCAGGACATTCATTTTGGTGTACATTGATATGTTTCTATTTTTCAGGATTGGGCTCATTTTATTGAAACTAGCCTTAGCCATAATTTGCAGTTCTCCTTTTTATTTCTGCGGAAGATTTGGCATCAGATGTTATCATATATCCTAGATATTTAAACTGTTGGACTTGTTTGATCTTTTCACCTTTGCTAATGAGATTACAACTAGGATTTGCTGCTTTTTTAAATATTACCACCATGCATTCTGTTTTCTTTACATTCAACAATAATCCTTTACGTTCACTTTCTTTTACAACAGTATCTAGAAGCATTTATTTGAAGGTCCATTATAAAGACATAGGCCAATAATTGAAAGAAGGAGCCTTGGCCCATAGATAGATCTAAGTTTAAAAATTCACATTTTTAACAACTGACAGGCGTCACATATGGCCTAGATTTCTAGATCAATTCACCGTAGGAAAAATCCACTTTCAAAAATACTTTCATGATTCTTGATCTCGATCTAGATTCACCTACAGCCTAGTTCTATACTCTAGATCTATTCACAGCATTATTATTATTTTTATTATAAATATTATTATTATTATTAAATGAAAGCTCAGGAAGTCTGCTACCTTTATTTTTCCACATCCACAAACGCAAATCATAAAAAACATTATAAGTGAGATGAGTGGTCACTGTTTATCCAGTCTGTAACAAAGTAACAATGAACGTCAACATACATGGCACTTATTTGTCTTCCTCGTTCGACAGATTTCGCTTTATTTTACCCTTGGACAAAATCGAGGTTTTAATTAGCCTTGCGGCAGTCTTAATGCCTGGGACCACCTCTGATTGGGACCTTAAAACGGAATTGTTTGTTTTTCTTCATTTTCATCAGTCCTGCCTAAGACAGCCACCTGTCTTATACGGTTAGCTTTCTCTTTGACAATGGGTGGCCGTCTTACACAGGCTCGCTGTGGTTGTAAAGCGCATAGATCATGCTGTAGAGCGTAGGTGTGCGCTATAGATAAATGCTGTTATTACTATCACTATTAGAATCTACTATTAATATTAGGACTATCATCATCATCATCATCATCATCATCATCATCATCATCATCATCATCATCAACTTTCGAAAGACGCTTCCTTCCTTCAGATTCATACAGTGCTCTGCACACAGTTTATCATAGACAGTAGATATGTAGGCACTCTTGTGTTGAGAGGGACACAACGTCCCGACAGAAAGATTGATATACTCGAAAAAAAATGTCCCCACACCATGATCCTTTTTTTTTTTTTCAAGTGTTTTACGGCGCTCGCAACTGTATAAGGTCATATGAGCTTGCGGGACACATTAAACATTTTCTGTTGGTTGGGAATTTTGAATTTTTCCCTGGTGGCGGTCGAAGCCTACTCTTATAAGTTTTAGACCACCAAGGGATCTTTGACGTGCGCAACTTGCACATGGGCCCTCCGAGATTTTTCGACCTTGTCCGAGAAGGCTAGGTGTAGATCTTTCCTACCAGAAGATCAGGGGTGTGGCTGAAAGACAGCAGTAAGGAGCCGAGGAATAGCAGTAGAAAGACTGCAGAAAGAGTTAGGAGCCCAGAGGAGGGGACAAAGGAGGCGAGGGGGCGGGGGTAGAAAGTGGAGAGGAAAGCAGACGACGGAAAATTGCTAAAGAGCAGGAAAGGAGGTGAAAGGAGACAATTTTAGAGAAGAAAATTTTTCGGTAGCTACCCGGAATGGAACCCAGGACCTTTGAATGAGAGGCGAACACCTTAAACTCTAGGCCACGAAGAGCCCCCTACACCATGATTGAACTTGGGTCCTCTGTGTGTGATGGCAAAGTGCCCAAGTGCCACACTACACGTACCACAGTCACAGGTGATGTTGAGTAAGAAGCTTTGCTTTTTTATTAAGTTTGAATGAGTAAAGAAAAGCACACCGACACAATGACAGCCATTTAGTTCAGGGTAATATAAAAACAAAATATTTTAAACAGACAGACAGAAACAACAGAGAGAAAGAAAATAAAGCAGGACCCACCACAATGGTTCTCTCCTACAATGCACCTTTCCTTCAAAACCTATCAAACCCTCTGCACGCAGATGGCACAAAGGTATTCAAGCACACTCAAGCTAATTAGTAATTCAAGCAGAATTTGAATCCCGATGAGTGATAACCCCCCCCCCCAAAAAAAAAAATCAAAAACAAACAAATATAAACAAACAAAAAAAATGAAAATGCAAACTTTCAAGGATGCTTTAATTCATAAAGGCAAACTTGGAAAAGTTAACAAATATTCAATTTACAAATTCCTGAAGGTTTTTAATCTTCCTGCTTAAGGTGTATGGACTTAATAATAATAATAATAATAATAATAATAATAATAATAATAATAATAATAATAGTATTATTATATAATAATAATAATAATAATAATAATAATAATAATAATAATAATAATAATAATAATAATAATAAAAGTATTGTATAGCCTGCTATATCACCATAGGCATAATAGACATAAAAAACTGCTTTAACATCCCTGTAAGATCACACTTTTTATTTTGGACTATGTGCAACAAAAGTCTTCAAACAAGGCTCTCTTTACACAAAACCATGACAGTTAACATACTTCTTGTACTCTTGAATTATTACAATTATGCAGATAGAGATTTTGATAAAAGAAGAGTATAGCCCTCCAGATATTTGCACATCACGGTGATCACACCCTGCTGTTTACTAGATTCTATGTATTTCTGTAACTTACTGTGACCCCTACGTAGACCCTGGATACAAAACATTTCCGTAGTTCAAACGGTTCGAAATAGGAGGAGAGGGGCTATACTTTACTTATACTCATACCAAAAAGATACTGTCAAAACATGAACAACAACGCATCAAATTATGTACTACCTTGTAATGTAATATTCTTATACAACTATGATTATGAACAGAATCTTCTATTTTTCATTCCTATTAACAACACTGTACTTAAAACTTAAACTGATTTGTACTATTGATGACATCACTTCATGAAATCGAAGACATTGTGGAAGGCTTGCCACGTTATCGAAAGACACACCATCTGCTCTGTAATCATTTAAACCAAGGTTTTTTGTGTGCTTTCCTGATTTTACTAAAGAGATTTATTCATTTAAGTAACAGTTCAGATTACAAGAAATACTCTCAGCTTTATTCTAATTTGTTGATGACTTCCCATTTCATTAACTGTAACAGCAACAGCAATGTTGACTGATTGTCAAATAAAAATAATGTAAAAATGGTACATCGATGATTGAGACAGCTAGGGATGTTTCTTAGTCTCATTAAAAAGAAAGAACACAGGGGAATGGTTAGCCTCAACATTAGAACATTCAACTGTGAGCAGTATGTCAAAAGTCTGAGTAAATATTGTTGTGCAGAAAATATATTATTATTTTGTACTTAGTATTTTAGGGTAGTTGTAGTACATTCCTCAAACTATTGTGGTGCCATTTATAACAATGACTGTAATTATAATTAGGAACGACATCACCACCATTGAAGAGTAGCATAATATTGTGGAGACCTCAAAATATAGGAAAGATATGATGATATATCAAAATATATTGTGTGCAGTCAAGTGAAATTATAACTCTGGAATGACACTTTCTTTCTCTTCCATTTACCCACCCACTCCATCTTTCTTCTACTTCTATTCACGAGAACTCCATCAAGGTAGTACCGCGCATATGCTCCGCAACCTTCTTAGCGTGGCCTGTGACATCACTTCCAAAAACATAACTTTTTTTCAGATCTGGTGAATACACGGAGGACGCCGGTTTGCGCCCATAAACCTCTGCCAGTTCCCGCAAGAAGTTGGAGCTGCTTCCACAGCAGAGTCCTATATACTGGATCCCGATCTCCTTCGCTTCTTTGGCGAAGTTGCGAATGTCCGATCGGTTGCATTGCAGGCATGCCAAGTCTAAGGGATAAACGCTCTTCCCTGGGGAAAGACAAGGGGGACATTAGAAAAAAAAAGCTTTATCAAAGTTAGTATTTCTCTACTCAAGAAAAACACACCTTTAAGTTCCCATTTCTTAACTAAAGTAGTAAAAATTAAAGCTAAAATAATAATTTGTCTGTCATGGAATAAGAATGTTAAGATAACATTCTTCCAGTATTTTCTTTCTTTACTTTTCCTTCCTCACTCTATCAAACATAGATTCTTAAACATACACATTAACGTATGCATGCACACACACACACACACACACACACACACACACACACACACACACACACACACACACTCATTAAAACACATGCTCAAAAACACACATAAATAAACATGCGCATACAGACAAGTACAAATCCTTTACTATATCATGTTGGAAAGCTGAATCCTATTCAGGCCAGGTTGGCCCTGACGGGTAGGGTCAAAACAACCTTCCTCCAAAATAATATTAATTGGGTGAAAAATATCATCATCATCATCATCATCATCATCCTCACCGTTTCCCTTGTCATCCTGCATCAGGATATGGGCCATCGACAAAAAACAATATTCTTCATCTTTTCCCTTTTCTGTGCACCATTCTCTTTTACTCGTCTCTAAGTTCAATACAGCAGGGTGTTTAGTTTTAGTTTTAGTAAGACTATTATGGCACTTGCAGAACAATTAGGTCATGTAAGTACCAAAGGTTGGAGGTGTTCCAAGAAAATGACAAACATAAAAAAAGACAGTGGGAGATAAAGACGACAGATGTTTGATAGGAAAGAATAAGCAAAACCCCACCAGAACACCCACCAACCACCCACATAGAGGGGTGTAAAGCATTTACCATCTACAAAAAAAAAATAAATAAAAAACCCCCACCAATAACAAGAAAAAACGCGTGAGAATAAATTGCCCAAATGAAAGACAAACCTGTCTTAGGGTCTGTGAGTGCTTGGAACGTCCTCTCTTTCTCAGTTGTCCTGAAAGGCACGGGTAGGGCTGCAAGTGGGCCCTGGAGAAGAAGAAAAAACAACAAACAGTCAAATATTTTAGTAGGCATAAGTATTGACATATAGCACAATCTGTCCCCGTGGTTTTATGCACCCCGCATAATTTAGCAAAATTTGATCATTTTTTGTACAATTTCTGATTATTTTTCTTAATCATTCTTTGATAAAATTAACAGAATCGGATAATTTCAAATTTTTGGGCTCAGTTTGCATAACTTCAGAATTTTTCTTGCATAAAACGACGCGGACAGCACAATGTTTCATTGGTGTAAAGATATATATTTTACATAACATGAAAACATTTAGATGTGATTGGACGATTAATGATTTGGGAATTTGGGTGCAGGGGTGGGGTGGGGGGGAGGAGGGGGGGAGGGTTGGGGGAGCGGCCAGATGGGGGGGGGGGGGGGGGAGGAGGATGAAACTGCGGGTGTATGTAGGCGCACATGTTCATCTGACGGTGTGTGTGTGTGTGAGTGTGTGTGTGTGTGTGTGAGCATGCGTGTGTGCGTGAATATGAGCGCATGTGTGTAAAGTCTGTTTGCGATAAATCGCACGACTTGACCGAACGGTACCAAAGTTCTGCTCCAATTTTACACTCCTTTTTTCTTTTTAACAAAATGTTATTACATTACTTCGGAAAGCTGTTCAATAAATGTAAAAAGACCAGAAAGCAAAATTTTAAGGGAGAAGTGAACCATTTTCATCCTTTTAACAAATGTACGTACAGTAGACATTTTTTATTGTTTATTATTTTAATTAACATTTAGAATTTGAATTTCAACAAAATATTTCTTGAGCACATGCAGCTGATGCCATAGACTAAGAAGCTGGGACACGAAAAATCAAAATTTTGGCCCCTTTATCGATAGCTAGCATTTTTGTATACCGGTAATATATTATTAAAATATTATTATATATCATATAGCTGTTATGTGAAGGCCGAGCACAAAAATGGGAAGCAACTCTTGGTAGTCTTCATTATCAATACGTATTCAAAGAGTTATCTCCCTTAGCCCAGAACCGCTTTCAAGAAGAGCTTGATGTCATTGCCAAAACGCACACAGAAGGCGCTATATTATAAATGATTTTTTTCCTTATTTTTATTGTAGGTGTTTTTACGCCCCCATCGTCCCAATGTATATCGTCTATGAGGTTTCTTCTTACTCTGCCTGTCAGGACAACCCGGACTAAAAAACACAGAGAAAGGCATACTCGGCAACTCTGGAATAGAACTAAGGTCCCCTGCGTGTGGCTGGGAAGCGCCTAACCACTATGCCAAAGACGCCGGTGCACTATTTGAGAAAGTATTGGTTGAGACCATAAACTTGTTGTGCCATTATATCACAGACCGTGCATTCTGCGCGGGAAAAGCAAAGAATGTATGGGTTTAGCACCCGTATAAACACTATCAGATTATGTAAGAGGCGGGACCTCCCAATTAAACCTCCGTCTCCAATAGAAGCGAGCCTTGGAAACTCTACAGAATGACCCAAGTTCGAGAAAAATCACCCTGGGATTCGAACCTTACATACTTCCACTCACCTTGCAAACTTTCCCTCACCATGCAAACATTCACTTGCCTTGCAAAAGTCCACTCACTTTGCAAATTTCCACTCAGCAAACTCCCACTTGCAAACTTCTTGCAACCTTCTACTCACCTTGCAAACTTTCACTCACTTTGTAAACTCCCACTCACCTTGCAAAAGTCTACTCATCTTGCAAAAGTCCACTCATCTTGCACAATTCCACTCAGCAAACTTCCTCTCACCTTGCAAAATTCCCACTAGCAAACTTCTTGCTTGTTAACTTCCACTCACCTTGCAAACTTCCACTCAACTTGCAAACTGCAAACTTCCACTCACTTTGCAAACTTCTTGCAAACTTCTACATTCCTTGCAAATATCCACAAACTTCCATTCATCTTGCAAACTCCCACTCACTCTGCAAACTTTCACCTTGCAAACTTTCCACTGACCTGGCAAACTTCCACTCACCTTCCAAATGTCCACTCACCTTGCAAACGTTCACGCAGCAAACATCTACTCACCTTGCAAACTTCCCAATTGCAAACGGAAGTCTTGTTAACTTCCACTCCCCTTGCAAACTGCAAAGATCCATTCACCTTGCAAACTTCCACTCACTTTGCAAACTTTCACCTTGCAAACTTTCCACTCACTTTGCAAACTTTCACCTTGCAAACTTCCACTCACTTTGCAAACTTTCACCTTGCAAACTTTCCACTCACCTTGCACACTTTCCTGGCCTCGCGCAGCACGGGCAGCATGGTGGCGGGTCCCCGGGCACAGTTGAGGCCCACCACGTCGGCCCCCGCCTCCTCCAGACGCCGGAGAGCTTCCACAGCCGGCACGTCGTCAGTGGTGAGGTCAGGGCTGTACAGAGCTATGGTCACCACCACGGGAATGCCTGGATGTCATGTGAGGGTGGAGGGTTGGGGGAGGGGGGGGGGGGGAGGGGGGAGGGAGAAGAAGGAGGGAGGGGTGTGGGTTGGGGGTATTTTTTAAAATTGAAGTTCAATACTAAACAATTCCATATCCCTCACCATTTTTTTAAAACAGCATTAAAAAGTGTACATGTACTAATAATACCTATTAATGTAGATCTAGCTAACTGTGTTTCTTAATTTCGTTTTGTTTGGTATTTGGTTCTTTTCTGAGACGCCACTCTCCACATTCCTGGCCCGAACAAAGACAGAGAAGTGCAAACAAATATTTGTAATATAAATTAAATGTCATAGCAAAGAGGTTTGTGTAAACCAAATTATGCGTAATGGTGTTAGAATTTTGAAAAATTAAGAAAAAAATCAAGAACCCTGCTGATACAAACGTCAGAACAAATTTAAAGACTTTTCTACTACTTCGGGCAGCTTGAACACACCCCTACTTCAATGAGCCACAGATGGGTGCCTTGATTCTCCTTTCCCTTTCAGATCACCGACATTTTGCTTCATAGTTTTATCTGACATTTTCGACCGTTTTTGGGTTACTAAAACCATAAGGTCAGAAACCAAATTAAGTTCTATCTGCTCCGTCAAAATTGTAAGATACTATTCGGAGTCGCTATCAAGATATTCAAAGAATTGCATTCGAAAAAGCTTGACATGTGAAACTCAAAATGTTGACATCAAATTTCTCAAAACTAAGTACTGAGCAGATAGAACTTTATAATTCTATGGCAGCGATCTATTTATTATTTAATTGAATCTGTCAAAGGTTTCTGAATGAAGTGCGGGCTTGCAAAACAAAGCAAAAATATCTTATTTCAAAAGGCTAAAAGCTTTCGATTATGCTTCCTCTCAAGAACACTGTAGCCAAAAATCATTCAAGGTGCTCCCAGGACTAGCAGGGTTGTTTACGCGCAGCTGCACCTCAAATATTAGCAACTTATCCCTATCCGTACGCCCTGGGGGTCATTTTGTACCCCGGGGTTGTATTCTTTACATTTTAGAATACTTCTAGTACGAAGATCTCTTTGAAACTTTCAGTATTTTTCAATGCATCATTTTGACAGACTGTTATGCAAAGCCTACGGATCGGATTAACGAGTAAATTTCCTCTTTGGAAAGTGGTGGCACAGTTCCCCAGGTCGTATGGATACGATATTATAATACGACGTACGGATAGGGTTAAACAACTATGACCTTCGCCCTTTCCGGGTAACATTGTTCTCCTGCTGAGGCAACTTGTTTTCATCATCGTTTGTTTGAGTAAAGAGAAGCACATCAACACAATAGTCGTCATTTACTGCTGTGAAAAAGTGAGACAGACGGACAGAGACAATAGAGGGAAAATAAAGAAATCAAACCTATCTGTGACGCCCTCCAACCACCCACTGTTTTTATCATGAGACCACGTGGAACATTAAAGTAGGGCCCAAGGACGTATTTACATAACAAGAACGTATTCACATACCAAAAACGTATTTACATTACACTATCATGGGTCACTGTTCTCTTGCGTGCGATGTATTTGCCCACCTTCTTTGTCACACTTCACCACCCTCTCCATTTTCCCCTGCGAGGCTGTTTATTAATATGAGGTGTAAAACGACAACACACCATACCTTAAAACATTGCATTTCTTGCATTTCTAACATTCTGAAGATCTATAAAGCGTAATCATCACTCATGAAATTTATAATAGACTCCCCTCCCCTCCCCCAACCTCCAGCAGATCATCCGCCGTATTAAAAAAAACCCAACATAAATTATGTTCGATAGGCTCGTGGCTTGCTGTGGGTCTGATCTCTTCTTCTGGTGTCAGGACTGAAGCAGAGAGTGACGGTCAGATCATGGGACCCCATTCCTTCCTGTTGTCTGTCTTCTTGATCAGCTCGGTTTTTCTCTTTGTGTTATTCGTTGCAAAGTTGTTCATGACATCTGTGTATGTTGTTCTTTGTCTTCCTGTGCTGTTCTTTCCCTCTATTTTTCCACACAGCAGCAGTTTCTCTAGTCCATTTGACTTTATCTATTTAGGAGGCCACAGAACCTCAACTGGTTTTTTTTCAGATAGTTCTGATTTACAGATCTTTCCCATCTTGCCATTTGGAGTTCTTTTCTATTTGTTTTCCCCCTTGTCCACGAGATTCTGAGTATTTTCCTTACATATCACATTTCTGCCTCCCCAAGGCTTCTCTCTGTGTCTTTGTTTAGAGTCCAGCTCTCACATCCATACAAATTGGGGGCTAATTCGAGTGTGGAGAAGCACCGGCATGCTCTCCACGTTTTCACTACATGTTACCTATAAGCAATTCTTGAGCTAGCTACGATGACAAGTTAACTCAAGAACATTTCGAAACGCCATTCCTCTTACATTACCCACAGAGGAGTTACAAAATATAGGTAACGCAAGTACAATTACGAGACAAAAGCAGGGAGTTCAAGGAAACGTGGATAAGGTAAAAGTAATTGAAAAAATAACGCTAGCAAACAAACATCACTCACCATTCCCGTATTCATTAGCATCCACCATTCCCGTATTAAACAGCACTTATTATCTTCGTATTCATCAGCACTCACCATTTCCATATTTAACAACCCTCATCATTACTGTATTTAATAGCCTTTAGCCATTCCCGTACTTAACAACCCTTCGTCATTTCCGTATTTAGCACCGCATCTGGCAATGACAATGACAATCTTTATTCATCTCGCAGGGAGAAATTTGTCTTGGTCGTTAACAATGGCAGTAGACGTTACAAAAGTTAGACTTAAAGGTGCACTCACGCAAACGCACAACAAGACAGGACATTA